CAGATGAAAGGGACTGTTAATACTACATCACTCAGTGTGGTGGGGGTCTAGTCCTACTTAGACCTGGAGCGTGGCTCCCTCAGACAGATGTCCATATTGAACTCAGAAAATGATGTGCATTGGTGCCTTGGTTGTGTCCAGAGCCCCCAGGCATTGTGCAAGCACAGAGCAGAAGTGGTCCCTGCCCCTCTGCCAGGACCTGTTTGCCTTCTCACGTTCACCCTATGACTGGCTGCACAGGCACCTGGCTGTAATCACCGGCGATGGAAAACTTTCCATGGGTGGCAGTTGCCACCAAGGTCTGGAGCAAAGCAGCTGCTCTGTGCCCGCACCCAGTGCCCAAGGTCTGTGTCCCTCAGGACACTGCCCCTGGGGAGGGACGGGAGGACGGGAATGGAGCTGGCTGACACATCCCTGTCCCTGGGTGGCCGGGAGCTTACTTCACTCTGTGCATGTTCTTTGTTGCTCCGGGGTGATGCTGAGGCCACAGTACCACTTGCAAGGACCACGCCACTGGCGTCCATGGTTTTCCCTGGTGGCAAAGCCTTGCGGGCTCAGTGCTCCTTCCCCCGGGAGCAGTGGTGTCAGCAGCAGATACCCCGAGGGGCAAACACACAGCTTTCCATGAAGCAGAGCCAGCCTGGAGGAATGTGTGGCCAGCTGTTGTCCTGGGCCTGGCTTGTGTCCTCCAGCACTTCCCACCCGGCACTACCCAGGGGAGGGAAGCGGGGCTGGCCCACCCTCCGGGCTCCCTGCACAGGGCAAGCGGGTACCACCTCGGGCTGAATAGCCACAGTGGAGCCCAGCAGCATCCTGCTGCCTCTGCAGGGATCCTCTTGGGCAGCGGAGTTTTCCCCACCCCCAGCTCTGCCGCTGCCTCTTTGTTTTCTGGCAGAAGCCTCTGTGCCTTTTCATTGCCGTTGAGGCGGCAAGCAGGAGCCTCTCCGTGTGCAGTAAGTGCGCCTCGCCGGGAGCGTGATGCGGGCTGGCAGTCCTGCCGGGACCGGCATCTCCCTCGCAGGGCTCAGAGCCCACTAGGCATCTTCAGGGGTCTCCTTTCCAGGGGCTGTTCCTCCGGTCGAGCGAGGCTTCGTTCGAGGTCACCGCTTTCCTCCTCACAACCCCTCTCTTGCGCTGGCAGCGTTTCTGCACCTTGCCACAAGTGGAGTAAGTTGGGTGGGAAGGGGCCGGTGCCCAGCTCGGCTCTGCTGCGGTCCTCCCTCGCCCTTGCTCCCTGCTGAGGAGATACCTGAGATTAGAGCAGAGACAGGGGCTGCGGAGCCGGAGCCGGCGGTGGCTGAGGATTGCTTGTGCTGCGCCTGCCTCTCGGTGTGTTTGATCTCTCGACTTCCAGCGGGGACTGAATTCCTGTGCTGGATTCTGGGCTCGGCTCTTGTGAAAGGATCCAATTATTTCAGGGCTTTGAGCATCTCCATTTGCTGCCCATATTTGCGGCGCCCGGGTCTGTGCTGGCTGGAATTCCAAGTGATTAACGTGGGCTGTGACAGCCCTCCTAGGGGTGTTATCTTTGCTCACTGTCCCCCACCGCCCCTCTCTTCCTCTTCCAGCAGCCAGCGAGCGAGACAGGCAGGCAGAAACAAAGGTCTGTCCTCAACCTGGGCTATCCTCTCCGTGAGCGGCTGCTGAATGGGATTTCCCTGCCCTGCCTGCTGCAGGTTTCCTGGGCTCGAAGGCTGGAGGTGGGCAGCCGAGGGCTGTATCGCTTGAGGTTTGATCCTGCTCTGGTGCTGGGTGGGCAGGGGGCTGCTGCCTGCTTTGGAAGAGCTGCCCGATTGTCATGCTGCATTTTAAGCTGCTTTTCATTCTTTGTGGTTTCCTGGCAAGAGGGGCAGCGGTGCATGGAGGGGAGGCTTGGCTGGCGCGGAAGGCGGGTTGGACGTGGGGAAAAGCCATACACAGGTGTCTGTTCAATAGCAGGATCTGCCTGCAGACCCTGCGAGCCCCCGTTCCCAGCCGCGGGCTATTGTCAGCATCGCCGCCCGCACGTGGGGCACCGGGGCAAGGTGTGCGGAGCCGATCCGTGCCAAGACGTGAGGCATCAGATGGAGCAGGGGTGAGTCCCCAGCCCGGGAGCTCCGCTCCTGCTCCCCGAGCTCCCGGGAGAGGTTTCATTGTGTTATCCAGGCTCAACCAAGCGGAAGGGCTCAGTCCCTGCGGCACCTGAGCGTGGGGCTGGGAGGCATTAGCATTGCTGGGCAGACCTCAGCCCCTCAGGAGCCTGCGGCAGCCTGGAGACCAACCAAGGTACCCTGTGGAGAGGGCCCCCAGGGGCTTCTGCACCCCATGGGTGTCCCCTCCCGTGGGATGGGAGGAAGGGCAAAAGCAGGACCTCGCAACATGGGCATGGGTGCTGAGGGGCAGAGGGAGGTGTTGGGTCTGTCTCTGTAGAAGCTGTCTCTGGTGGTTTATAGGAGCTCACACTCCTGACATGGGCACTGCCTCTTGCCCCATCTTCGTCTTCCTCTCCATTGTCAGCACAGGAGCCAGCACTGAGCGAGGCTTTGTGGCTGCATGAATCTGGCACTGCAGGGGGCCTCCTGAGGACCCCCAAAGAGCAGCACTTGCGCTTGAGTGGGGCAGGGATGCTCCTTCCCTCTTCATCCTCCCTCCCTCTCTCAATCCCAGCAAGTGTGAGCTTCTTCCTCTCCAACCTGAATCGCAGACGTTGCCAGAGCCACGTCCATGTGGGTCACCTTTCCCTTCAGGCACAGTTTGTTCCTTGAGCATCTCTCTAACCAGCTTCTCTGCAGGATTACCACCTCTTCTAGGCATGGTGCTGGAGGTAGTCCCCAGTTTCATATGTCTGTGTCTCTCCTCGTGTTGATATACCTGGTCTCTCACGCTATGGTGAAACCCTTCTCTGGTGGCAGCATTGCTGCTAGTGCTGCTGTTCTTCAGGGTTGTGATAGAAACTTTCTGCCTGCTGGAACTTCTCAAGCTCTGCTCTTAGCCTGTGCCAGGAAGCTTCTGGGTTTGCACTTGCGCTGGTTAGATTTCCTTCCTTCTCCTTGGGTTCAGATAGAACCAGCAGAGCTGCGATTTATCCTCCAGACAGTCTGTTTCCAGCAGCTTCTATTGCCTCTTCTCTTGCCTTGTGCTCTGCTTGCACCAAGGGTGATTATTTGCCCTCTTATAATGACTGCCCCTCTCCTTCTTAGCTGTGTGATTCCTGCTGGGCTGGCACGGTATGGTGCAGCCCCTTGTGCCAGGTTAGCGCACTGCTGCCTAGTGCTAGCATCACCTGGTGACCAGTGTTGAGGTGTCAGCTGGGATGGATTTATAGTGCCTCAGCCCCTCCTCATGGACCCATTTTCCTGAAAGGCTTCTGCTGCTTGAGAGCAAAGGTCTGTGGCTGCAGAGGGACATGGGAGGGACAAAGAAAGAACGCAGGTGAAACTGCTTACTTGTCCCAGCAGAGACACGCACAGGAAGGATGTGGCTTTCTCCTGCTGCACTCTGCTGACTCTTGCTGCCAGTGCTGATGTTGCTTCCCAGTGGTTGACTGTGCCATGCAAATGCAGTACCAGTCTCTCCAAGGGATAGAGGAGGGAAGCAGGAGCCTTCCAGGCAGGCAGAGTACAGCCTGTTACCACCTTGGTATCTGCCCATTCAGGCACTCAGTTGCTTTTCTACCTGCCCTGGTGCAGGCCCCATGTAGGGTGCCATGAGCAGCCAATCTTTTACAAAGGGTTTTTGCTGAGGTTTCGGACCAGAGGTTTACGGTGTTGATTTCCCCTGCTGCAAGTGCTCCTCGGGAGCTGGTGTATTGTGTTTCTGTTGTGGTTGGTCACCAGCAGTGCCTTTCCCATCTGTCCTGGGTTCAGCCGTAACAGGTATTATTCTCCTTCCAGTAGCTGGTGCAGGGCTGAGTTTTGGTTTCAGCCTGGGAACAACGCTGATAACACCGATGTTTTCAGTTGTTCCTTGGTAACGTTTACCCCAATCAAGGACTTTTCAGTCTCTCATGCTCTGCCAGGGAGGAGGGGAAGCCAGGAGGGAGCAGAGACAGGACACCTGACCCCAGTTATCTGAAGGGGTATTCCATACCACAGCATGTCATGCACAGTATAGAAACTGGGGAGAGTCACTCAGAAGGCCCAGATCACTGCTCGGGTTGGACTGGGTATCAGTTGGTGGGTGGTGAGCGGTTGTATTGTGAATCGCTGCTGTTTATTGGGTTTTATCCTTTCCCCTTTTAGTTTTATATTCTCTCCCCTTGTTATTTCCCTTATCGTTATTAGTATTAGTAGTTTTACATTATACTTTAGTTACTGAACTGTTCTTATCTCAACCTGTCATGTTTACATTCTTTCAATTCTCTTTGCCATCCCACCCAAAGTGGGAGGGAGGAAAGGGGAGGATGCATAGTTCTGAGTTACCAGCTGGGTTTAAGCCATGACACCAGCAGTGCTGATTATGCCTTTTGGGCTGGCTGACTTTGAGCGTGCCTGTCTGATGATTACAAATCCTATTGGAAATGTAATGAAAGAACAGCCCATTTCCTGGGGCAGGCGAAGTCAGGCAGTGAGCACACTGAGTGACCCTGCTGAAGCTGTCTTCACACCTGCAGGATGATGGGATGCAGAACTGGAGCATGGTACCAGAAAGGGGCTGCACTTGGGTGATCGGTGCCTTTAAGCATCCCTTCACGGATTTTGATCATCTGCCTGGCCGTGCTGTTTCCAGCCTTGAGCAGTGCTTGGTGCTGGGGTGGGATGCCCAGGGGGACACACGGTGGCTTGGCTCTGGATGGCCGCTACAGTGAGCCCCACACTGAGGCTGCATGGGAAGGGAGGGCACAGTCCCCAGGATGGGCAGCATTTCCTCTTTCACATGGAGGTTCCTGGGCCATCAAAGCTCATGGGCTGCCCCTGTGACAGAGGGGCTGAGCATGGAGTGCCTGAGGACTTCTGCCTACCCTGAGAGTGTTGCACCACAACCTGCTGCCCGAGCTGACTCTCCTCCTTGCCTTCTTCCAGACATCAAAGCTGCGGTGCTGGTGGATTATGACTGCAGGGGAGCTGTGTTGAATCTGCAAATCTCTGTTGTGCATCAAGGACACATCTGAGCAGGTGAGTGCTGTGCACATGAAAGGACTTCTGTCTTTGTGCTGGGGAAGCTGGTGGGGGGCCATCATGGCTCAGGGCTGTCAGGCTCCTGGTTCCTGCCTTCCCTGCCAGGGATCTCAAACTGGAAGAAAACATTTGCAAAGCTCTTCTTGTTTGTAGGGCCAGAAGGCACCCTTTGATGTTGTGTGTGCAGGAGGCAGGAGGTGGACATGAGACCAGCAGCTAGCTGGAGGCCCAGAGGTTGCTGGTGATCTGCAGTGTCTTGGGGAGCAAGGCATGAACTGGTTGCTAGAGCAGGGATCTGTTCATATGCACAGTGTTTCATACAGGAAGGCATGAAAAAGGGATGTAGAACATGAGCCAGGTATGAGAGTTCACGGCTTAGCTGAAAGTATTTGTGGCTTAAATGGAAATCAAGGTGATAGCACTGCCTGAGATGGCCAAGATGTATGTGGCCTTTGGGTTTGGGATGTTGGAAGAGACTGAGCCTCAGTGCTGCCTTCTTTGTCCATGTGACCCTGCAAACAGGCATCACCCTCCTGCCCTTCTGGAAAGCATCTGAACCACCCCAGCCCTGCATCTCCTGCTTTCCTTCCCTCAGAGCCACTGTGGAAACCGAAGAGCTGGAGAGGACAGTGTGGCAGTTCAGAGGCACACCGTGATGGTGGGAGCCATTCCACGGCAGCCACGCCGCTTCTGGGGGGTGCCTGGCTGGCTGGTGTCTTCAGCTAATTGTGCCAACAGCCACCCCCTGCGGGACAGGGAAGTTAATCCGGAGCAACCTGGGGTTCTGCTGCAGAGAGGTGAGTGTGGGGCAGCCAGGACAGGCTGCACTGTGGCGTTACACGGAGGGGATATCTGGAGGTGATCTGGTCCCTCTGCTCAAGCAAGCGCACCCAGAGCCATTGCACAGGACCATGTCCAGACAGCTTTTGAATGTCTCATAGAATCACAGACTGGTTTGTGTTGGAAGGGACTTAAAGGTCATCCAGTTCCAGCCCACTGTCACAGGCAGGGATGCCTTCCACTAGAGCAGGTTGCTCCAATCCCCATCCAACCTGGCCTTGAACACGGCCAGGGATGGGGCAGTCACAGCTTCTCTGGGCAACCTGTGCCAGCGCCTCAGCACCCACACTCTTTCTAAGAAGTGAGGGTGGTGAAAAGAACTTCTTAAATTCCTAAGTTCTTATAAAAATTTTTTCCTAATGTCTCACCTCAATCTCCCCTCTGTCAGGTTAAAGCCATTCCCCTTTGTCCTGTCCCTACAGGCCCTTGTCCCAAGCCCCTCTCCAGGTTTCTTGTAGCCCCTTTAGGCACTGGAGCTGCTCTAAGGTCCCCCCTTCAGGAGCCTTCTCTTCTCCGGCTGACCCAGCCCAGCTCTCTCAGCCTGGCTCCAGAGCAGAGCTGCTCCAGCCCTTGCAGCATCTCCATGACCTCCTCTGGACTCGCTCCAACAGCTCCACATCCCTCTTGTCTTGTGAACCTAGAGCTGGAGTTCCCAAGGATGGAGATTCCACAGCCTCTCTAGGTAGCCTGTTGAGTGTTTGGTCACCCTCACAATAAAAAGAATGTTTCCTGATATTCAGACAGAACCTCCTGTGTTCCAGCACCTTCTGCCTCTGGTCCCATCGCTGGACATGACTAGAAAAAACCTGGCTCTATCTTCTTTGCACCCTCCCTTCAAGAATCTATATCCAGCCTGGCCTGCCACTTTCCCATCCCCATCGAGGCAGAGCCAAAATACCACGCACAGCCTGAACCAGATAGCCTTGACCCACTCAGAGAGCTGATTTCCCTGTTGCTCACCTGCCCCTAAGCCTTTGCTCCACAAGAGCAGGCAAAGCTGTGTGGACAAAGGGCAGAGCTGCCACGGGCAGTTTGTCAGTTTGTCTGGAGCTCCTTGGTCTGCAGTGATTTGTGCAGCATCTCCTCAGCTCCTGCAGCCATTTCAGTACTTAACATGCCAGAAAAACTCGTGGTCACGATCCTCACAGCTCTCAAACTGGGCTGAAAATCAGAAGTGAGGTGCTATGCCTCATGAGGGAGGTCAGACCCTCAGGGCAGGAGCCTATGGTGGGTTCTGCAGCCCCTGGTACCACCCAGATGCTGACTGAGGTGGTGGAGGGGCAGGAGATAACTGTGATGTTATGCCAGGTTCCTGTACTCTGTATACGGGGTACAGCCCTGCCTAGTTCAGCTCATGTGGCCAGGACAGGTCTTCTTGGTGAGCAGGGGGAGATCTTGTTGCTGTTGCCCAAAGGGGTGATTAGAGGCCAGAGCCCCTGGGACTGGTCTGACTTGCCTGACTCCTGCTCTCTGGAACAGTGCAAGCATGTCCCTGGCAGAGGGCAGGCTTCCTTCTCCCCACTTGTCCAGACTTGTCCCCCATAGTCTCCAGCCTCCTCTATGTGCCCAGGCTGGGGAGGAAGTGCTGATCCTGCAGATGGGTGACGCTGCAGGGCTCCCTGGAGAGCCACAGCAGCATGGTTCCTCTTCTCTTCCTGGCAGAGGAAGGTCTGAGTGAGGCTGTATGAGGACCTGTCTGTGCCACAGTAGGTCCCTCGTTACCAAAAGCCAAGATGAGCACAATATCCGAGGCTGACTCCCATCCTCCTGCTCTCTCTTTCCAGATGCTGTGCTGCAGTGTATCTCATAGTGGAGGGCTCACCCAGGCATCCTGAGTGAGGGGAGGTCCAACTCCCACCCCCTGTCCTCATACCCTGTCCTGTGGCACTTTACAGTCTCCTTTCTGCTACTGCATGGGCTGTTGTGACTCCGGCTCCGCTCGGAGTCCAGGCAAGTGAGGCTCCATGCGGCACATCCACGCGGAGACGTCCCTGCCCCCGGAGCACAGCGCAGACCCCAGCCTGTCCCAGCCCAATGGAGAGGCACCCTTGGAGGCTTCCTCGCAGCACTGCACCCACCGCAGCATCCTCATGGGGTACAACGAGACAGAGATCAAGCGCCAGAAGGTTTATCAGGTCTCCATCTTCTCGCATCTCTCCAGCTCCTCAGGGAGCGCAGAGCAGCGGGCAGGCAGCCGGACGGCTGTCAAAAGGGGATATCCCGAGCAGCGAACTACAGAGGGAGGGCGAGACCCCAAACGAACTCAATGGGGTGTTGGAGGGGTGGACGGCAAATGCGATGTGGACCCTGGGCAGGCTTCCCTGGATGATGATGATACCTTTGAGGACGGTCTGTTGGTGGAGGAGCTCTCCCTGTGCGGCTCTGCACAGCACTTCTCCCACAGCGGGCTGCGGGTAGTGGAGCACCGGTGTGAGAGCAGCCCTATCCACAGCCCCAAGGCCAGCAGAGAGGACAAGTTGCAGGACGTCTCCTCTTCCTCCTGGCCCCAGCACATTGCTTGCAGTACTTTGCACACAAGAGACAGTTGCCCTGTCTCTTCTGGGGATCAGCCCATAGACTATGGGCAGAATGGAGAGCGGGCAAGTGGCCACAGCTTGCTTCACCTTGATTTGCACAATATTGCACACACAGCACAGCTGGACTCTGGTGGGAAGGAAGAGAAGTTGGGGAGCAGTCCGGCACACAGCAGCAGGGCTAGTGGAGGAGAGGGATGGTCAGCAGTGCCCAATGGGTGCAAGGAGCCGGCAGCTCCACAGACAGTGCTCAGCCCTGAGCCCAGCAACCTGGGCTCCCTGGACAAGACACCCTGTGGGAGCAGCCAGCTCAGTGCCAGCAGCTGCCCGGCCAAGAGGAAGCTGCTGCCCGCTGGTGAGGTTGTGGCCGACTCCTGCTCCGAGGATGAGAGCCTGTCCCCACCAGTAAGGAAGAAGAGGGTCCTGCTGTGCCATCCTGTGCCCACAGCCTGCCGCAGCACTGATGCCAAGGGGGCTCCTTTCTGGAATCACCTGCTTCCCACGGCCAAGGTGAGCATCGCTCATGGGCGGGATGCAGGGAATGACCTGAGGACACCCAGAGCACTGTGGCACCATTCCCTGTGTGTCCCAGTGCTGCAGCACTGGTGTGAGCAGGGCAGCTCACACACACTCTGTAGGTTATCATCACCTTCTGACGCCTTGGAGTTGCTGCATCCTCTGCTTGCAACCAGCTGTTTAGCCTGGAGAACCTTGCTCGGGCAGGACATGACCCCCCCTTGACACATGGACACATGGCGTGGGGCCACACTCAGTATTGACAGCTTCGTGTTAAGCTATACTTACCAGAAGGCTTGGGAGGAGTGGCTGTCCTCTGTCTACGTGATGAGGGAGAAGGCAGAGGTGTGGGACGGCTTTGGTCCCTGGCCATGATATCCATCAGGACAAGGGTTTGGTGGCAGGGAGCGGGATTGGACATGCTCTGACCAAGGAGTGTGAGCCCCAGTGCTGTGTGCAGAGACACCACTGTCTTTCGTGTGGTTCTGGGATGCACGTGGCATACCCCCGTGGTGCCACCAGCTCTCAGAAACAGGGCAGACTCCAGAGGTTTGCAACCAGCCTGGCAGCCAAGGAGCTGCCTTTGATTCCTCCCTGCTTACCCACCCATCCTGACCAGCTTCTTGCCCTCACTGTGTGCTGCTGGCTGAGGCTGCAGCAGCCTTATGCCAGAGCTGGCACTCTCCTCTCTTTCCCTGGGGCATCCCACAGTGCTGGCACCCCTCGAGGGCCCAACAGCAGAGCTTCCCTGGCTTGGAGCTGGGATACGCCATCCATGGGACACAGCTCCATCCCTGACCATGTGCTCTTTGTGGTGCCCGTCCCCCAGCCCTGCTGCCTCCACCACTGCCCTCCAGCAACTTCCCTCAGTTTTCCTGCCTGGTCATGCCAGCCAGCGCCATCATTCCTTTGTGTTCTGCTGCCCTTTGTGTGGCTTCCAGAAGGGAAAACCCCTGAAAAGGGGATGTCTTTAAAAGGAGGCTGCAGTGTGGCTCTGGCCCCACACCCTAAAGCTGTAGGAGTCTGGGGTGGGCAGCACGACTCTCTGCCTGGTGGCACTACTTCGCATGAATCTCCAGGGGACAGGGCTGTTCGTGGGCTGGTCAGGGAGCTTCATTGTATGTGTTACCATTCCCTGGGAGGTACAAGGGGTGTCACTGCATGGCTCTTATGGGGGTGTCTTGTCAATGGGGCTGGTCCCAAGACCTGCTTTGTGAGGTAGGAGTTGTGTGATGCACCCTCAGCTTGGGTACCAACACCTTCATCCCCAGCAGAGCCACTCTGGGGTTTGGGCAGCCCCATGTCTCCACCAGACACCCCACCCCTGCGGAGGCCAGTGACAGCTCCCCATGGATGAGAGCCTGTCTCATCCTCCTGGAGCTATGAGGCAAGGCAAGGGTTGATGGCACCTCCCAGGGTCAGGCCCTGGTTGCTGCCCTAATGTGATTCTCACTTCTGTGCCCCCTCCAGAGCTCTGTGGGCTGTACTGCAGTCGGGAGGAGGCTGAAGAGCGAGCTGCGGCTCAAATCGTGAGTGTCCTGGCAGCCCTGTGGGATGGACATGGGGGCTCGGGATGCCCAGACACCCCAGCACCCTGCAGCCCCATGGGAGGTTCAGGCTATGGGGCGGTGGGGAGTTTCCTCTGCTCCTGAGGGGTAGGAAGGTGTGTTCAACCTCCACCAAAGAAAGGGACTGGGGATGTGGAGAAGGATCTCCAGGGACATGGGCAGCTCTCCAGTCCGACACAAATGTTCTCTCCTGTTTCAAAGGCGACATCTCCGGAGCAGCCTCCGGAGGGGCACCAGGTCCTCCTCAGCACCCTGGGCCACCACCACCATCAGCCATGCTCTGCTTGGCAACTTTGAGGTAACAGCACCCATCCAGGGGCTCCAGGCTGGGCTGGTGATGGGCATGAGAGGCTGAACCTGACCAGAGCCCTGGTGTGGGGCTGGGCTGAGTGTCCCCAAAGCCTTGTTGTGTTTTAAGCCCAGTGGCAACTGAGCACCATGCAGCCACTCGCTCACTTCTCACTCCCCTCTCCCTCGCAGGGTGGGATGGGGAGGAGGATTATAGGAAGGTAAAACCTGTGAGTTCAGATAAGAACAGTTTGATAATTGAAATAAAGTGAAATAAAGGGTACCTGGACCCTGCTGAGACAGCTGCTGCTCTTCCTGCTTCTCTGCGTGAGATGGATGGCTTTGTGTCAGAGGAAGCAGCCAGGGCGCCTTACAGGTAGTGTGGACACATGAGAGCAAGCAGAGTTGTGGTTGCAGCAGGGACAGGGGTGATCTCACCTGCAGCCTCGAGGCGAGGGGCAGGGCTGGTGTTTGAAGGTCCCTAACATCCCCTTCCTCTCTCAGGAGTCCATCCTGAAAGGGCGCTTTGCACCGTCAGGGAGGATCGAGGGGTTCACAGCAGAGATTGGCGCCAGCGGCTCCTACTGCCCCCAGCACGCCACGCTGCCCGTTGATGTCACCTACTTCGATGTCTCCGAACACAGCGCGCCTTCGCCTTTCCTGGTATGCACACGGGAGGGCTGGGACCACGGGGGAGGTGAGTGAGGGCTGTACCCGGGCACCATGCATCCTGGGGATGTGCCTCTCTGGATAGCGTGGCTCAAGCAACCCCCTGCCTGAGAAGATCGCCACTGTGCTGGGAGCGGTGCTTAACCCACGAGAGCAAAGAGGGAGAGAAGAGGGAACCCCTTGCAGTGTCATGGTTTAAACCCAGATGGTAACTCGGAATCATGCAGGCACTCACTTGCTCCCCCTTCTTCCCTCCCACCTCTGGGTGGAATGGGGAGGAGAATTGAAAGAATGTAAACCCCACGGGTTGAGATAAGAGCAGTCCAGTAACTAAGGTATAATGTAAAACTACTAGTACTACTAATGATTATGATAATAATAATGATAATAATAATAATAGAAGAAAATAACGAGGGGAGACAATATAAAACTGAAAGGGGAAAGGAAAAAACCCAATAAACACAAGTGATGCCCAATACAATTGCTCACCATCCACTGAACGATACCCAGCCCAACCCGAGCAGCGATCTGCCCTTTGGGTGACTCCCCCCAGTTTCTATACTGGGCATGATGAGCTGTGGTATGGAATACCCCTTTGGCTGCTTTGGGTTGGGTGTCTGTCTCTAGTGCCTCCTGGCTGCTTGCAGCACTGGCAGTGCATGAGAGACTGAAAAGTCCTCAATCAGAATAAACACTACTTGGCAACAACCAAAACATCCGTGTGTTATCAGTGGTGTTGTTCTCAGACTGAAGCCAAAACACAGCCCTACACCAGCTACTGGAAGGATAAAAAAACCCTGTTACAGCTAAAACTGGGACATGCAGGCATAGTAACAGGCAGGCTGCTGCCCAGCTGTGTCATGGCTGTTGCTTCTCCATAACCTCTGTATTGCTGCTTGTTCGTCCTCTGGTTTGAAGAGGGGCTGAGATGGGCATCCTTGCTGCCCTGTGCCAGGTGTTCCTAGCAAGGGGAGCTCTTAGCCCCATGCTGGGCTCCCAGTGAGGTTTCTCTCTCTCACACATGCTGTTCCTTTTGCCCCAGGGAGTGATTGACTTGGAGGCCTTGGGAAAGAAGGGTTACAGTGTCCCCAAAGCTGGAACCATCCAAGTGGTGAGTCCTTCCCTGGCCTCCTCCCTCCCCTCTCCTCTCCTCTCCTCTCTTCTCTTGTCTCTCCTCTCTCTTCTTCCCTCCTCTCTCTTCTCTTCTCCTCTCCTCTCCCCTCTCTTTTTCTCTCTCCTCTCTCCCCTCTCCTCTTCATGGCAGTGGGGAGGGCAATGGTTGGGCTCTGCTTCCCCCCCGGGTGGATATACTCCATCACATTGCTTGGCAGGGCAGCAGTCAGAAAGCTTGTGCAGAGGTGGTAGTCTGCCTACAAGAAATCTGGAGAGGGACTTTTTAGAGAGGAATGTTCTAGTAATAGCACAAGGGGAAATGGCTTTAAACTGACACAGGAGATTTAGGTTGGATATAAGGAAGAAATTCTTTCCTGTGAGGGTGCTAAGGCCTTGACACAGGTTGCCCAGAGAACCTGTGGCTGCCCCATCCCTGGCAGTGTTCAAGGCCAGGTTGGACACAGGGTCTTGGAGCAACCTGCTCTAGTGGAAGGTGTCCCTGCCCATGGCAGGGGTTGGAACTGGATGAGCTTTAAGCCCCTTCCAACCCAAACCATTCTGTGATTCTACGATATATGGTCACCTAGACGGTACAACCGAGGTGAGCATGGGGTCCCTGGTGTGCTGGCAGGGAGACAAGGTGATGGGAGATGCAGGGAAGAAGGAAGATGGTGAGGGGGGACAGGGTCTTCTGCAGTGGGGATGGAATGTGATGGTGTTGGGATCACAGGAGTGGAGGTGGGTGGAAAGGAATAATATGTGGGCTCAGGCTATGCCCTCTGGGGCTGGTGCAGGGCTCTCTGGACCCTTGGTGCTGGCCCCAGATACCCCATCCCTGCCCTATGGCTCCATCCCTATATCCTTCCCAATCTCACTCCCTACCCCTTTGCCCCCAGACCTTATTTAACCCCAACAAGACTGTGGTGAAGATGTTCTTGGTGACATACGACTTCCAGGACATGCCTGCCAACCACATGACCTTCCTACGCCACCGCATCTTCCTGGTGCCCGTGGGGGAGGAAGAAGGGGCCACCATGGCCCCCAGGGACCCATCAGGCTCCAGCCCACCGCGCAGGGTGCTATGCTACCTGATGCACCTGAGGTAGGTGCATGGAGGGATGTGTGCCCGCCCCACGGTCACCCCATGGCTCCTCACCCGTGTGTCCCTGTCTCCCCAAAGCCTGCAGCTCAAAGCAAGGGGGATGGCAGCCTGAGACCCTCCCCTGGACCTGGGGAGCAGCAGGGACCCTGCCCAAGGGTGTCTCTGTCCCTCTGAACACAACTGGAGCATGGTCACCTTGACCCAGGGGTTAAAGGAGGTGAGGGGATTGTGCCTCCCACCGAAGCTGTCCTGCTCGTGCCCGGTGTCCTGACATCCCTGTTCTTGTCTCCATGCAGGTTTCACAGCTCCAAGTCGGGGAAGATCTACCTTCATGACGACATACGGCTGCTTTTCTCCCGCAAGTCGATCGAGGTTGACTCGGGCATCCCCTATGAGCTGAAATCCTTCACGGAGATGCCGAGGAACCCCTGCTACTCACCCCGGGCCTGACCTTCTGCACCCTCCAGGGCCGCTGGGGAGCCTCCAGCCCAGCACTTCGGGCAGTGATGAGTGAAGGGCCAGCGAGCAAGCACTGCCTTGAAGGATCACCCGCCCCAAGTGCCGCTGTGCTTCCAAGCAGTGTGGACACCGTGCCCTGCAGCAGGGCTGGCGTTACCAACCAGGCTTGCGGAGCAGCCCTGGCATTCCAGGGACATGCCCAAGCCCTTCTGGCTGCGCTGCTCCCACCTTGGACACTTGTCTGTAGCTGTGGGGGGAGTGAAGAGTTGTGCTGGGGGGCTCCGGGTTAGGCTGCCCACGCTGGTACCGGGACTGGGAGCAGGAAGTGTGGAAGAGTTTGTATTTATTAGTATTTATTGTTGCTGGGAGCCCAGAGGAGGCTTGTGCTGAGGGTCGGAGGTGCTGTGCTTTCTCCCCCCCATCCTGTCGGTGACGGATGAGGCCCCCCGGCAGCGCAGGGCTTGGGGCAGGGATCATGAGGGTGACTGGGGACGGGGAGGGTGAATGGGGATGTGGATGCTGTGCAAGAGGGGGTGAGCTGCCAGCAGCCGGGTGCGACACTGCTGCGCTGGGGCTGTGTTAAACCCCTCCGAGGGGCTGAGATCTGCTGGGCACGGGAGGGAAGGAGCAGCCTGGGGAGGCGGGGGCCTGTCCCCTGACCCCTTTTAGACCAAGCCAGACCCCAAAGGGGCTGTGGCTGGCAGGGACGTGGTCATTGCTGTGGTCCGTGGGCAGAGAGACGTGCATGGGGGCCTGGGCTCTGCGGATGTGGGGTCTGGGATGAGGTGGAGATTGCCAAAGAACAGGGGCCTTGTACCTCTGCCCGATGCGTGGAAGGGACGTGGGGCAGCGCTGCGGGGCGGTCAGGAGCCCTGGGGAGTCCGGGGGAGAGGGGACATCAACCAGGAGCCGGGACGGACCTTCATGAGGGGGTTTGGGGATACACGGAGCATGGGGAGCCTCCCGTGTTTGATTCTAATTTAATAAACACCACTTCGGAAACCGACCCGGCTCCTGCCGGCGGAACCAGCGGCAGCGGCCGCCGCGGAGGCCCGGGCGCTGCACACGGAAGGGGCGGTGGCTCCCGGAGGCCTTCCGGGGCGGTGGGGCAGCGCGGCGGCACGGAGCGGAGCGGGGCGGAGGGGAAGGAGGGAGGGCGGCGGGAGCGATGCTGGCGAGGGCCGCGCTCCGGGCAGGGCCAGGCCTCGGGCTGCTGCAGGTGAGGCCGCGGGGGGGGTGCACAGGAGGTCTGGGGGTGAATGGGCACGGGGGGCAGCGGTGGGGTGGGATGTGGGGGGCCGGGAGGGCTGAGGGAGCACCCGTGGGGAAGCGGGCCCTGGAGCAGGGCAGGAGGTGGGGAGGGACAGGGGAGGTGGGGTGGGAGGATGGGTCTGGCCAGGGAGGCCGCATGGCAGCTCTCGAGTGCCTGAGGGGGGCTGGCTGCAAGGGTGCTGAGAGGGACTCTTCATCAGGGACTTTAGTGGTAGGACAAGGGGTGATGGGTTCAAACGGGAGAGTCGGGTTAAAGATAAGGAAGAAGTTCTTCATTGTGAAGGTGTTGAGGCGCTGGCACAGGGTGCCCAGAGAAGCTGTGGCTGCCCCATCCCTGGCAGTGTTCAAGGCCAGGCTGGACACAGGGGCTTGGAGCAAGCTGCTCTAGTGGAAGGTGTCCCTGCCTGTGGCGGGGGGTTGGAACTGGATGAGCTTTAAGGTCCCCTCCAACCCAAACCATTCTGTGATTCTAGAGTGTAGGGCCTGAATGGGGCAGAAGAGACCCACACACACCCTGGCTGTGTCAGGGAGGCATTATTCCTCCCCCAGAGTGGGGATGTGAGGGAAGGGGGGACGTGGAGAAAGCTCCAGCATGAGGGTGAGCCCCCATGCCTGTGGGGACAGCCCAGGAGCACTCATACTGGCTCTGGGGCCCGGTTCTGTTCCCTGTAGGGGCCGCCTGTGTTCCTCACACAGCACGGGTGGGCTTGCTGGGGGCATCAGAGCTGCCCTGGTGTATTAGGGCTATAAGCAGTGATTCCAGATGGGAGACCAGGGGTCGTGCAGGGCTCTGAGGTGCAGCCGGTCCCAATCCCTTTCTTTCTCCTTCCTGCAGCGCTCCCATCAGCTGAAGCGTGCAGCATGGCTGGCCCCAGCTCCACACCGCTTGAACTCCAGCTTGCCTATGAATATTGGGGTGCTATTTGTGCCGCAGCAAGAGGCTTGGGTGGTGGAGAGGATGGGCAAGTTCCACCGAATCCTTGAGCCTGTAAGGAGACACTCTTCTCCGCTTCTGGATTCTGCGGGTTCCTAAAGCTGTGCGAGGATTCAGGGGTTCCAAGCTTATTCTTTCAGATCTGTCTGTAGACTAATTTCCCTTGGTGGAGTATTGAAAGCACTGAGAAACCTAAGTTTTCCCCATGTGTAAAGCATGTTTGTTTTGCCTGCAGTATCTGCAGCTTGTAGCATACTTTGTTTGCACAGCTTTTTATGTGGGGGGGGGAAGAGAACAGATTAGAGTGCTCAGCCATCTAATCCCACGCTTTTCCCAGGGTTTGAACTTCCTCATCCCTCTGCTGGATCGGATTCGTTATGTGCAGAGTCTCAAAGAAATCGTCATTAATGTCCCAGAGCAGTCAGCTGTCACACTGGGTAAGGAACAGCTTCCGTGTCCTGCCCCTTTCCTGCTGCTGCATCTGGGGCAAGCAGAGGACTTTGTGGGGACAAGCGGAAATGGCCCAGGCTCCTGCACTCAGCCCTGTCCCTGGGTTGGCTATACTGCTGGTCCTGAGCAGTATAGCCAACTGCAGTATAGCAGGACCCAGGAGGTCCTGACAGCCCTCTTGGGGCTGCAGCTGCCTCTTCGTGCTGGATTGAATGTACTAAGGTAGCAGTCTGGTTTTTAGATGTTTTCCTGTCTTGCACCACAAAAACCCCTCTGTGTTTCTGAAAAAAAAAAAAGATTTCAAATCAAGTTAATGGGCAGCTCTGTTAAAATTCTAGTGTTACAGTTTTGTTGTGTCTTGTTTTTCCTCTGTTTCTATCTTTATGAACGTAATTAGGGCATGAAATGTTTTGCTCTGGAAACCTGAGACTTCTTGTTTATTAGAATAGTCAATATACAGTGTTTTCTGAGGCACGTCCTTTTTACAAAGCCTCTTAGACAAGGAGATCTGTTTTCGGCCAGTCCTTCTTCTGTGCCTTGCACCTTACACCAGGAAGGAAAGGGATGACACTGCCCAGCTCTGCTGATTCTGCTGAGGGAGGGGGACTTGCCATGTTCTGTCTTTGCTGCTGCAGTAAACAGGATGTGTTGTTCTCTCCTGGCAGATAATGTCACTCTCCAGATCGATGGCGTGCTCTATTTGCGGGTTATGGACCCCTACAAGGTATGGCCAAACTTGCAGCCTCTGAGCTATGCCCCACATGGTTTGTGTGTGATGTGCTGCTCAACTGGCTCCCTTCTTCCCTCAGCACACGCCTCACCCTCTGCCTCGCTTGCTGTGCCCCGTGAGGCGGGTGGGCTGAGCACCCAAATCCCTCCTGTGGCTCCAGACTCTGCTTCTCTTTGGCAGGAGTGTCTGTAGCAGGTTTCTTGTTTTCCCGTCCTGCCTTGTTCAGGGGTTTCCTTCTCAGCACTGCCATTTGACTCTGTTGTTTGCTCCTGCTCTCCAGGCCAGCTATGGGGTGGAAGATCCCGAGTACGCAGTGACCCAGCTGGCCCAGACTACCATGAGATCTGAACTTGGCAAACTTTCCCTCGACAGAGTCTTCCGGGTGAGCTGGGGAGGTAGATCACAAAGCAGCCTCTCCCTCAGCCCCAGGGCAGGCTGATGGGCTTAACAGCAAAACGCCCTTTGCTTAGAGGGCTTCTGGCTTCTGTTTCCAGTTGACCTATTAGTGAATCCTTTGAGATGGGTCCTGTTTCGGTTATTTTTTTCTGGCAGGAGCTATTTTTTACCCTGCCCTGGGTTAGTTGGAAAGGCTGATGGGGTGGCGTGTGCCCAGACCCAGCTGGTCCAGATGCGTTTCTCTTGAGACAGTGGCACTTTGGTCAAGCCCAGAATTAATGACCTGGGTCATGGCGGCTGCAACCCTCATGCTGTGTTTGCTGAGCAGGAACAGGAGCTGTTGGCATTCCTGCACAGTGTTTGCATCCATGTGTACACCAGTGTTTGTATCCCAGCAATTTCAGTTTGGGGCACTGCCCTCCTTAGGAAATGGAGACCCCTTCAAGAGATGTGGGAAGCATGTGACACTGCTTTATGCCTGCGGAGATGTTTTTTTTCTGGCTGTTTGTGGCCAGAGGGACGGTGTCTATTTCCCCCTTGATCTCTGTTTCATCCTAAGCACCTCTTCTTTGCTCTCTGCCGTTCCCTTTGTGCCTCCCAGGAGCGTGAGTCCCTCAATGCCAACATTGTGGATGCCATCAACCAGGCTTCAGACTGCTGGGGCATCCGGTGCCTGCGCTACGAGATCAAGGACATCCACGTACCCCCACGTGTGAAAGAATCTATGCAGATGCAGGTTTGGCTCCCTAGGAGAGTGGTCTGGAACAAGAGGGAAAAGTCTCTTGTCTTGCCCCATGGGTGGGATTTCTCCAGCATGGCCGTGGTGTCCAACCTGTGTTTGCAGGTGGAGGCAGAGCGACGGAAGCGGGCAACAGTGCTGGAGTCAGAGGGGACGAGGGAATCGGCTATCAATGTGGCTGAGGGGCAGAAGCAGGCCCAGATCCTGGCATCAGAAGCTGAGAAAGCTGAACAGATCAACAAAGCTGCTGGTAGCGCACCTAGGCTAGGATTTGGGGCTCCATAGCCATCTGCACTGAGGGGTGATGCTCCTGGGAAGAGACCGCATCACTGTTTGTGTGCCAGGCTTCCTCAGCCATGCTGATCCTTCCCTGCTGGGGCCTTCAAAGCTGTCTGTGGCTGTCCCACAGCCTGGAGCAGCGGGAGGTGTCTGGCAGGAACACAGCCATGCTGCTGTTGGGGAGGAGGAGGTTTTGCACGCGTGAAAGCCTTGATTTTCTCCTTGCAAGTACTTTGTGGCAGTTCTGATCTGTGTTCTGTTGTGGTTCATTGCAGGAGAAGCCAACGCCATGCTGGTCAAGGCCAGGGCAAAGGCAGAGGCTATTCAACTACTGGCAGCTGCTCTGGCACAGCAGGTGAGTGATGGCTCCTTGGGGCAGCCACCGCTTCGGTGCTGGGCAGGTAGAACCATGGCTGGTACCTGTCTTTCTCTTGGGCACTTCAAAAGCAGCAAGCAAGGGATGTGCTGTCCTGGGGACCATGATGAGCCAGGGGTGGGGGTCTGAGTGATCCCTTGGGGGTACATGACCCAGT